TCTCCTGGCGAATATTTTCTTTGCTTTCATGACCGAAGCGAAATATTTTTTTTAAGCCGTGCCGCTTGACAGCTTCAAAACTGAAATAGTTTTTAGGTTTGGGTGTCACTTAGTTATCATAGTAACTAAATAATCAATTCGACCAAAAATCGCAAAATACATTTTAATTATTTGATTTCCAAACACAATTTGGTGTGGGATTTTCTTACCGAAAATCCTTTAAATCCATTTTTTCAGACATTTTTTCTCGCTCATGAATAATTTTCAAAATATTCATGAGCTCGAAAAAATTTCCAGAAATAATTTGACCTCTAGTGGTATAACTAGTGAAAAAACCCTCATAATCGTGTTTGTGGGATCGAAATATAGTACCCCTAAAAATATTTGCACATATGTATATAAGGCTAACCTTCTATATAAGGCTCACTCTAAGACTCACCCTTTATATAAGGCTGTTCAAACACCAGCGTATATGTGTATGAGAGTAGAATTGTACGCTCTCCATCTGAGTTCATCAAAAACATACGTAGCTGCCTACTGACCATAAAATATAAGCGATACCATAAACAATAAAAAAAGTTATAGGGGTTATAAGCTACTTTAGAAAAATACCCGATAAATATGCTGGTCTGTGATACTCAACATACAATAATCATATAGTAAACGCCACGAATGTTTGGGAGTGATTCATCGGTCGCTACCATGTGAACTAACCTGTTCAAGGTCACATACACTTAATTCCAGTGCCGTGGTGTTTCAAGTCATATAATAATCAATATATAATCTGTTGTAATTTGTTGTTTTAACTGTCAAAGTCTTGTCAAAACATATATTTGGTTATAAATATAAAATGGAATGACCCATTGGTCGCACTGCAAGCACACCAATGGACTGACGCACAAAAACGAATCAATCAAAGAAAGGCGATATAGTATCGTTTTTGTCAATCACGCTAACATTTTAGAATAAGTAGGAGGAGCGCAGGAGATGATTAGACCGGGCATTTAAAAACCTACGTCTGCGGTAAAAATTTACGTTTTTAATGTAAAAATGATAGCGCACGTGTCGATTCTAACTTCATCAAGCGATAAATCACTCCCAAACATTCGTGGCGTTTAGTATAGTATTGTTTTCTGAGCGTGATTTTTTTCTGTGAGGGCTTTGGGTATAGTTTAATTTATAATGAAGTATTGTGCATGATTATAATTTAGTTTATATTATACTTCTGTGAAATATTTTTAATTTTAAGATACCATATGGTTAAGTGGAAGAGCGACTATTAAGTCGAACTTCGCCATGGTTCCTATTCGATTTACTGTTTATTTATAACAGTAGAACTTTTCTAATTCGAGTATATTGTACAGAGTATATTGCTGAAAATAGAGCCAACTAAACGACTCTTGCTGAAGAAATGCAAGATATTGGATTGCATTGATAAGGACGGAAGGATACGTAAAATTTGTGTTTTATTCGTAACATTTCATATTTTGCTGTTCCGCGCGAAATTTACCAAATTATTACCGATTTTACCAAATTTAACCAAGATAAAAATTAAAAAAATCAAACCATGTACAAAATAAAAGAGTTGTAAATGAACTTCAAGAAAAAAAGAATTTGTCTCTTGTTTGACTGAAAACTATAATAAGACAGAAATAAATTGAAGAGAAAATACTAGTCACTAGAAACAAAGGCAACAAATGACTTAAATGAAAGAAAGGATAACAAAGTATGTATGCAGATAAAAACCGATTAATTTTTTTTAAACAATTAATTCAAATCGGTCAATTCAATTCAAATTAAATATTAATTTTACATTTGTTGAAATTTTTATGTAAGTATTTTATAAGTATTTAGGCGTATAGTTACTTGATATGGATATTGCAGTAAGTAGTAACTGGTAGTATATGTAGGTACAATAAGCATAATTTATAAGAACAAAAAGAAGTTTTAATATGTTTTATAAAATGATTTGGCGTTTTGGTTTAAATAAAAATGTGTTTAAATTTTGAGTATGGGTTGGAAACAATAACATTATAAAATTATTCGTCCAGCCCTCCGGATACTCCATTAAATCGGCGCTAGCTGTTCCGATATGTGTCCGAACCGAGGGGTGAACACTTAGGGGATTTATGGTGTACACATGAGAGGATTTCCAGGGGATATACCGAGGATGTAGTGGATGTACCGAGGATGTAATGGATGTACCGAGGATGTAGTGGATGTACCGAGGATGTAGTGGATGTACCGAGGATGTACTAGAGGATGTAGGGGATGTACCGAGGATGTAGGGGATGTACCGAGGATGTACTAGAGGATGTAGGGGATGTACCGAAGATTTACCGGGGATGTATTTCAAATTATTTGGAGCGTAATTTGCCGAATGCGATGTTTCAAGTCATCCAAATTTGTGGGTTGTCTTTTGAATACATTTTCCATAAGGTATCCTCTTCGGTATCCTCTTAAAAAAGGTTTGAATATGAAGGTTCTAATATTTTTTTCACTTTTTAATTTTTAAATGAGAATAACTCCAAAAAGCTTGGATTTGGGTATAGCACTTACATGGAAAATATTCAGAATTTTAAGGGCAATTCAAAAATGCAGAAAAATTATAATTATGTTGCCACGAGGGTTGCCATTAAAAGAAATTGTTTTGGACAAAGCATTTTTGAGACACCCTGTATAATATTCATTTTTTGCATAATCTGCCCCGGAAAAATTAAAATAATTGATGTGGCCGAGCGATTTCCAAAAAAATGTGGTTCTCGAGATGTTGATATTTATTCAATATTTTACAACCACCCTGTACGAAATCAAATAGGATCGAATATCGATATTGAGAATATAGATAGATATAGATATTTCCGATATGAAGTATTCATAAAGAGATATAGCGGTATCTGTTATATCGATAGCTATATCGATATTTGTGGACGAATATATCGTTACTTGGTTTTCACGTATGTGAATTAGCTTGTGCACATTCGTTTTTCTCAATGAATTTATTAAATAAAGTTTGCACAAGCCGATTTTCACAAGCCGATTTGCACAAATTTCATGGGAGTGAAAATGGACCTTTATTTGATATATCGATAAAAATATTTGATATATCGATAAAAATATCGATACTCAAGGCTTTGTGGCTCACCCCTACTCATAACCTCAAAATATCTCGCAAAATGTATGTATAAGTCAGATATATAGACTTTAATCCATATCTCTGGTATAAGTTTATGCAAAAATGTGTTTGGCATGTGTGTTCATATCTTATTGCATAGTGCCGTAAGCGTTATGAATTAAAGGGAAGTGTGTGTAAATAATTATTATTGTACCCTCTATACGTCAAAAACGAAGTTCATAAATGCGAATGCCTTTAGCGTTGCCTATTTTTAGGTCTGTTTTATAAAGTAGATCCTCGGTAGCTACTAGATCTCATTTTTATTTGGGGTTCAAAACACGAGATTGATAACTTTGCACATAATATAGGGCTTTACGCATGACTAAGTTATTTTTTCCGCCGACATAAACTGCATAAACCGAGGCATAAACTGCTGTTATACAGGGTAAGTCTTAAATAAGTGCAAATATTTTCAGGGGGGTATATTTTGACCCCAGGAACACGTCTATGATGTTTTTTTTGCAAATAAAATATGTTAAAAATCGTGCATTTTCTTTTAAATTTCCCTGTATATTTTTCGAAAACTTTTTAGAACTGCCTGTTCACCGCTAATTTTCCCACGTTATAAATTCTTAATCTCTGATATTACCATAGTTACAGCTTTACTCTATGGTTACGGCACTAAAAGGGATGCAAATACAGAAAAAATTCAGGTGGCTATCAAAATTAAAAAAAATCAATTTTTTTTTAAATTTTCAAACTTAAATAACTCGGTTATTTTGGACTTATTTGAAAAATGGTAAAGAAAAAATATGTTTCTTTTATCGAGATCTACCAGCCCTGAAAATATTTGCACCTATTTAAGACTCACCCTGTATAATAAAAGTAACGGCGAATTGTTGTAGGCACAATAATAGCCGAGATTGTTACAGCTCTGGCAAGATTTGATATGGGTTGGCGCGCCTTAGTTCGATTCTCGATAACCCCATATAATTTTTTTAAATGGTTTTGATTTTTTTTTATCATTTTGAATTCAACAAAAATATTAGGTGTCAACTATATTACTAGCCAATAAATTGTAGAGGTTTGAGAAATTTTGTGTAGTTATACATTTAATAAAGCTCGTAATAAAGTGGGAGATCGCTCTAACATAAATAACAATTCCGGTTTCGTCGTAAGAAAAAGTAACCTTAATTTTGTTATTTTAAATAAAAAACACCCTGTAAATTTTTATATCCCTCTAGTAAATGTAAGTCGAAATGGTGCTTCATCTTTTTTTATATATTTAATAGTTTCGGAGATAATAGCGTTCAAAATTTTAACTTCCTTTTTACCATTCAAATAAAATTTAAAAAAAATATATACAGTGTGTCCAAGATACGTATATCTCGAAAAGTATTTTATAGATACGTAAAACGGTTCATCACGAAAATTATTCTAAATGTATGGCGTACACATGAGAGGATTTCCTGGGGATGTACCGAGCATGTACTAGAGGATGTAGGGGATGTACCGGGGATGTACCGAGGATGTAGTGGATGTACCGAGGATGTAGGGGATGTACTAGGGGATGTACGAGGATATAGGGAATGTACCGAGGATGTAGGGGATGTACCGAGGATGTACTGTAGGATGTAGGGGATGTACTAAGGATAGAGGATGTAGGTGTACACTTTTTGCCCTATGTGTTTACCCCTCGGTCCGAACTATCGAAGTTCTACTGTACTAAATAAATTCCATATTATTATTATTAATAATAATAATATGACCAATGAAAACTTAATCAGAGTTTTTCCCGAACCTAAATCCCAAGAAAATCAAAAATTTTAGAATATTTAGAAACAAGGTTCAAGAATATCATATTTTCCAAGATTATTATTAATTATATGATTGCCACGCATGTCGAGACATAAAATATGTGAACATGTATGCTGGTTTTTGATTTCTGGGTAGCCTTTAACTTTTTGTTTAGCCTTTTTTTATTTATGACTCGGACAAAGCTAATTTGCTGGTGTTCTCTATCCTTTAGTAGATTTATTCTAAGATCACGATCGAAAATTTTCTGATTCTATTAAATTTATAAATTGTAGATTTTTCATTTTATTACGAAACTTGAGTAAACTGCGCCGAATAGAGTCATTCCACCTTAGAAGGGCAAGCTGGCGACAAACATTTTCTCTATTAATGGCGGTGCAGGAACCAGATCCTCTAGTTTCAAGTAGAATATCCTTTGCAGTCCCTGGACGCTTAAGGACCTCAGCTCGGGCAGTTTTCCCAACAGGCGGCTGAAGTAGTGCGCTTTCCTTTGGGCCTCTGCGTTGTACGTCACGTGATCCCGCAACGACGATATTATTTTCATTTGCAGCTGCTCGATTTTGTGTGGTTCTTTAAGTCCATGACGTTCTGGAAAGAAAAAGAGGAGATTATTATTGATTTGTTAGTTTATTCGGTCTATTATTCATATAAACATTTTTTTTTTATTTTTTACCTCATCTGAAAGAGCATTTCTTTACGAATAATTTGGTACCACATTTTTTTAAGTGAAAATATTAAAAGTTGATATATGACATGGTATTCATTCTATTCATCCAATAAAGTAAAAAAAATACCGACAGTATCATTAATTAAAAATCAAAAGTTGTAGTCAGTTCTGGTGAAACTAATTGAATACGTCAATCGAATCTTATTTATGTCATATACTAACATACCAAATCTCGTTTTTTTATCTTATAGGGGTGAGCCATTTTTGAAGAACACCCGGTATAGAAGTATCCAATCACTGTTAGTAGCTACTTAGTTATTTTTTTTGTTGTAAACATGTTACAAAAAACATTTTTATTATATTTTAACACATCGTATGATCAAAGAATCTCATGAACCATTGCGTTTTGATTTTTTACAGATCTGAAAATCTTATAGAGAATTATATCAGGGTATGTTTATAATAAAAAAATAATAATTTAGTATTGAGTTCTATAAAATTGGATTTGGTAGTAGTTTTATCAATTTTTTTAGATAAATATTTGGTAACTTTATTTATTCATTTATTTTCTATAGAACTTAATAGGTATTATAATTGAATAAAAGTTGTAGATCATATACAGTTATGAAATTCTGGGCTGGAAATGCAAAGTTAAATCTTCTAAACGTTTTTAAATAAAGATTTCAGACAATATCTGTTTTTATTTCTAAAAAAATACACAATACTTCAATCCTTTTTACAATATAAAATTCGTTTTATACAATGTTGCTATCTAATCTATATCTCATTAACTTTGGAGATTTTTAGACAATTATAGACAATATATTTCTTGAATAGAAACTATAATTTCCAATATACTAAGAGTAGAAATAGATATCCTTTTATTGAATGCATTTTAATCCGTCCCTTTGTCTAATTTTTATAAAATGTATTTTTTTTTAATTTATATAATTTTATCCAGTCGATACAAGAAGTACTTTCATATTTTTGAACTTCTTAGTTATTATGCTTTTTTCGTCTAAATTATTTCGTACCAACTTTTTTCTTCATGTAATACAATAGTTAATTTCTGAAATATACATATTTCTCTAAAATTGAGCTTCTCTGCGATAAGTTAATCTAACATATCTCTTAGCAGATCTACCACCGCTTATAAAAATTATCTTCATCTATTTTTGAAACAATCGAGTTGAAATTCAATTTCATTTATTACCACTCGTAAATCTTTGTATTTTCAGAAAGTCGTTTTCTTTTATCATTTTCCATTGACATTTCCCATCTTTGCGATTTCCCAGTCAACCAAATTAGGATGTTTCGTTTCCTAATTCCCTACTGAAATTTCACCAGTAATTACTTCCTGTTTTTTTTTCTGCGATTTTTCTACCAAGACTCCGAGACAATATCGACGAAAAATCGAACGTCTTTACAGAATAATAGAGAAGTGTGTAGAATAATTAGTGCGTGGGTGATTAGTGTTTTTATAATTTAAGGGTAAGAATATTCTACTAATTATGTTTATATGTAATTTCTGTAAACATAAATCCAGCTCTCTTAGAAAACACAATCTCCATTTATTATTTGCATTTTAATTTTAGCGAGTTTTTTTCTGTAAACATAATTGTTCCATGTGTGTGTGATCTCTCTATATCAACATATCTCTAAGTATTATTTCTTCCTTTCAGGCTGTGTTTTGGAGGATAAATTTAATAGAATACCGGATTAGAGGACTCTTCACATCCATAGTATCTAAGTTGGTAAGTTGTCTGTTTTGATACCTAATACTTTTTTTTTGGATTTTTTTTGTTTTGTATCTAATGGAAATTTTGTTCCTATTTTGGTTAGGCGCAGAATTCCAGTAAAGTTCTTCTAGACAAGAAGAGATGGCAATGAATATCTTAAATAAGTTCTAAAATTAAATTTTGTAATAAATATTGAAATTACAAACACGTGTTTTATTAAATTTCTTAATATTTAGTAACGCTTTGTGAATTTACAAAAGTAATTGTAAATTCACTATAATAAAATGAATCTGTTGTGATTCTATGTAATATTACAAGAAGTTGGCGATTTTAAAAGTTAAATTTACAATGAATAAGTAAATTTCGAGGAAAATTTACTATGAGATACACATTTTTAAATAAATTCACAAAGAATATAAAGATATATTATAACATATTTACAAACACATCACAAATTAGCCATACAGCGATTTTACAAACGAGTTGTAAAACTAAAGAACGGATGGTAACTTTACTACAATAATCTGTGGTAAGAAAAAAACCTCAATATTGTTATTAAATTCACAAATTATTTTTTTCAGTGTATAAATATTTTTTTGGAGTAACTCCCTAATAAAAAATCCTATTTGTTATAAACTTTTTACTCACACGGACACTCTGTAAACGGCACAGGTTTTAATTAGATACCAATAAATATAAAAAATGTTTAACAAAAGCCTGGTGGGAAATCGTAGCCAATATAAGACAAAATTAATTTATGTGTAATTTAGATTTGTAATAATATTGTAAAGTCATGGTCTCAACGGTATTATAAATTATTGCTAAGTGAGAGTACTTTTATATTAAATTAAAATCATGCATATTGCGACTGTGATACCCGTAAAGTAGTGGAATATGGGGTAGGTTAAGCCGTTTAACTAAGGCTAGAGAAATTTAATAAGTACACTGTCAGAATAAATAACTTATTTTACACACTGGCTAAATTACCGCTGGCGGTATATACAACCGACGAGAGAAATACCGCTGGTAGGCAGTGATATTTTTTTAACATGAATCCGGCCGAACAACGAGGTAAATTTTACCGGCTCTTTTTACAAAATATATAAACAAAACCGCTCGGCGGTATACGCAACATAAATTAAATTTTCGTCAAATTTAAGGTGTTATATATATATTTTTTTATTTTAAACCTATTTAAGGTGTTATACGAGTATAATTTTTAACTTTAAACCTAATGAATTTTTTAATTTTGATGATTTTTTTAGCAAACTGAAAACTGCTTTAATTCGTAAAACTAAGCTTTTTATAAATTTTAGTATTTGGCTTATTGTACATGATTAATCGAAGAGTTGTTTTTTACCCTAACTTTAAAACACCCTGTGCAATAATTTCGTGAGAAAATTCTAAAATATTATTTTTGACCAAACCATGTCTCTTGAGTACCTTTTTTGTTTTTTGGCTCATATCAATATATGCTTTGGTTTTTAAGAGCGAAATGACTTGCCACGAATAATTTGCAATTACCACTACTTTATGATGTTACTTTTCAATACGACGATGATATTGTGAACCACATACTTTTATAAACTGCCCAGCATGTTGCGCGGTCTGTATTTTAATGCATGCGATAGAGATAAATATAAATGGCCGGTTGACAGACTGAGAGACAAAATAAAAAGCAGTGTTGTCGGTTTTTTACGTTTGTAGAAAAATGTGTGTAGAAAAAATAATATACTACTTAAATGAAAATAATATATATAAGCTAAATATAATCTACTAGTTGAAGCCTGGCGCCTCCGCCACGACATCAGAGAAAAAATACTTATTATTTTTTGTTTAATTAAATGAAAAACAAAGAGTTTTTAGAAGACCAATTAGCTATCTTTTAGTAAAAAAGCAACTTTTTAGAGCAAGTCGTGGCTTCAGTAGAGACGACACAGATAAACATTAGTATTTTATATATGTAGATTAGAGCTGTAGTAAAATGAGTAACTAATTCTGAAATTCCAACCCTAGATGCAACATTTTTCATAAATGTCTACTTGTGCGGTTTAAAATTTTGATGCAAAATCCGGCAATATCGCATAGAACAAATGTATCCACCCAACTTTTATCTCTTTTTAATACATTTGATTTGCCATTAAGCTGTCGACATCACTGTCTTACACGTCGAAATTCAGAGCACGAGGTTTCGATGACCAGATCGGTATATGCAGCCTCATTGACAGTATAATCGGACGTTTACAGGCAGTTAAAGTAGCCATAATGGCAATAAACAGTCCATATGAAGGTTAAAAATGGCAATTCCAATCAAGTCAATATATAGAGAGGGTAAGACAGAGATGTGTGCTGTCTCCTTCATTGTTTAATGTTTATTCTGATGCGATTTTTCGGGAAGCTTTCTCTTCAAGAGATTGCGGTATTAAAGTCAACGGCGAAGTCATTAATAACATTAGATTTGCCGATGACCAGTGGCGGATACAGAGGGGGGCCCATGGGACCCGCCCCCCCCTAAAATCTGTAAATTTTGTAAAATATTAGGCTTTTGGGTTAAAAATGGCGCCCTAAAAAGCATATTCTACATTGATTTTTATTTTGGGCCCTCCCTAAAATAAATTCCTGTATCCGCCCCTGCCGATGACACTGTTCTTATTGCTGACTCTGATATTGGATTCCAAAGTTTAGTGGAGCGACTTGAAGGCTCTTGTAAGAAATACGGGATGAAGATCAATTCCTCTAAAACCAAAGGCATGGTATTTGGAAAACACCAAAATGTACCAATTCCCATTAAAATCAATATCTTCAAATACTAGTACAATATATTCAAATACTAATAAAATTCAAATACAAGTACAAAATATATTGAAATACTAATAATAGATCCACAAGTTCAAATATTTGGGGTCCTGGATAGTTCAACACCTTCAACAACGACGTGGAAATAGAAACCAAAATAGAACAAGCCAAAACAAGAACGTTTTCCAGAATCCCAAATTGGACCTTGAGTTGAGAACTAGGCTCGTCAGGTGTTGTTATGTTTGTTGTTTGGTCAATCCTATTATACGGAGCAGAGACATGGACACTGAAAGTTCAAGAGATGAATCGCCTCGAATCGTTAGAAACATGGATATATCGAAGAATACTTAAAATTCCATGGACAGCTCATATCACAAATGCCGAAATTTACAACATAATAGGCAGAGAAAGAGAGTTGCTCGATATAATAAAAATAAAAACATCATATTTAGGGCATAAATGTGGCATAAAATACCACGTTTTACAACTAATAGTTAAGGATAAAATTGAAGGAAGGAGAGGTCTCGGCAGGAAGAGACTATTTTGGTTGAGAAACACTAGAAATTGGACTCACCTAACTTTTGAAGAACTCATAAGGAAAGCCGAGAATCATGAAGATTTTGTCAATGTGATCGCCAACCTTCACGAAAGAGAGGGAGGGCACGGCACGTAAAGAAGAAGAAGAAAGCAGCCAGTGGAGGCAATACGACATATTAGGATATATTTTACAAGTTTTCTTTTTATTTGTATACTTGGTTATTACCGTTATGTTTTCTTTAATATCGTTAATTCTGATATTGTTATTAATGTTTATTAAAACCAAGACGGTATCGTTACTGTTTAACGTTTTTTTTTATTTAGTGTAGAATATCCAATGCAGCTACCTCGTTATATTGATAAATTTAATATCAAATAATATCTGATGATAATTGAAAAAATCGCAAATTCGGGGTGGCAAGTTCATTTCACTCTTAGAAATTTACCATGACATGTGGTGACATGAGACAAAAAACAAAATGCTCAAGAGACATAGTTTTGACCGAAGAATAATGTTTGAGGAAAATTGGCTCACGAAATTATTGCACAGGGTGTTTTAAAGTTAGAGTTAAAAAAGAACCATTCGATTAGCCCTGTATAATAAGTGAAATACTAATATGTTTATAAAAAACTTAGTTTACGAATTTAAGTTGATATATTTATATGAAAATTGGGCTAAAAATAAAAAAAAATAAAACAATATAAATTTGTCAAAAAAAACCGTTGCGTCTTTTTAACATCTGAGTATTTTGGTTTATTAGCTTTTGGACCGCGTTACACTGCCTTCCCCCACGTCAGCCCTCCTCCGATTTTCCAGGCATGATCGATTCTGAAGTAATCGACGATTTTCAATCAACTTTTGATATAACCGCGTTGAATTATTTAGACCGGCGATGACCAGGCGCGCGAGCTGCCCGGACGGACGGATTTCAATAATTTAGTAGGTGGTTTTGCTGCGGAATCACCTGTCACTAAGTCCGAACGATGTTCTTTTTTCCTGTTGAGGCCGGACTATGATTATCATTGAGGAGGCATAAAATATGTATCGGTGTTTTGAAAAATTCTAGTTGTACGATTAATTTGATCGGTATAAGGAAACTTTGATATTATTTATACACAGTTAAAAAAATACAAAAAAGTTGCATTGTTACAGCAAAGTTTCATTGTTTTCAGAAAATGGAGTTAATTGATTTTTTTTTAAATTTGTTTTGTTTGGTGGTAAAAATGGTAAAAATATATTTCTTTACTAGCGTGTACCAGCGACTTCGTTCCCGTCGAATTAATCATTTGTAATGGTGATGAAAAAGCAAAGCAAGAATTTCCATTAACATACAAACTGGATAAAATTTTCTCACATTTATGTCAGCATGAGAGAAAACAAAATGGCGATATTATTATATAACTTGGTAATATTTGAGAAGTAGTTTCATCTCGTTGGAATTTGACTTTCGAAAAATCCGTTTGCCAAAAATAAGCTTTTTACGTCAAGCAGTTTAAGCAGAATCGTGGTTAAGAAATTACCCAAATTTTTGGAACAACCTGTATGATTTTTTAAAAAATTTCAAAATATGTAAAAAACCAAATAAACTATGCTTGTCCAAGCGTTTTCGCGAAAGACTAACCGTTTTTTAAATAACAAATATTGTAATATTTGAGGGGAGTTTTCATCCTCTTGGAATTTGAGATTCGAGAAACCCCTCCTTATCGAACCTCTACACCCCACAGTCAATCCGTTTGGACCTATTCTAAGAGAAAAACTTCATATGAATGTATGTCCTAAACATCTTAATTTCTACAGGGTGGTAAATTTTTCTAAAAAAAACTTTTTTTCATAATAACTCTAATTTTATTACCAGATATCTTTATGAAACTTGATACACGTCTTCTATGCATTAAAATACCCTTTTTTGGTGTACAAAGAATTTTATTTATTTCAACCAGTGCCGTCCATATGGGTTTTACATTGAATATTTTTGGAAAAAAGTGGTACACCACTGACTTCTCTTAAAATAAATTATTTTCAATATCTCCGTTCTTTTCTAAATATTTTTCTCTCTTGGTTTTTGATGCATAGTACAAGTTAAGTTAAAAGTTAACTGGTTTTTAAAAGTATCCATAAAAATTGTAAGTAAAGGAAAACCTAAAGTCTAGAGCTTTATTTAATCATATTTTCTATTTAAAAAATGTTTCCGGATATAGGTATTATTATATTATTAGATTTAACATCCCCTGTTTAACAAAATTACAAACTTTTAAAATGCTTGTCACAATTACAACTCCACCTTTGTAGAGCGATTATAACCCTATTTCTATTTCTGATTTTATATTTTATTTCATTAATATTCGTAAATCAAAACCTAAAATATAATAATTACGTGAAAATATTTTATAAAGGTATGGATATTGATCTCGATATTGATACATTAGAAAATATGAGGGTGAAGAAATGATATATAAAGGGTGCTCCAAAAATAGAGGACTCTGTTGTAATTAGAGCAAGAGTTTGATGAAAAAATATTCTTAAATCGGCTAGAAGGCGTCAAAGAAACAACGAATCAAAGAAACAAAATAATATAACAAAAAGATAAAAGAAAAAACATATAAGAAATAAACCGAAAAAATCTTAATAAGAAAATTATAAAAATGAAAAAAAAAAGAACACCACTTACCCCTACCTGTTATAAGTGTGAGCGCGCACAAGCACGCGAAAGCTGATATGTCGATTTCCATGGCATGCAGACCAGCGCAAAATTCTAATATTGAATGAAGCCATTCGCCGAAAGATCTCTGGCATTGCTGGATCTCTAGGACTACTCCGTTGCAAAAGGTTAATTTGTTATCGTTAGGATGGGTTCTGTAGGATAGGCGTAGGACAAAAAGTTCTAAGTAAGCTGACTGGAACAAGACTTCACGATCTTCGTGACATATATCCTGCAATGGAAAAAATAAGATATGTAGCGGTCCCATTTTTGTTGGAAACGAGGGTTATCTCGCTTATTAGTAAAAATAGAAAAACTTGTGGTTTTTGTGAATCAGGGCTGCTTTTTTGTAAAACTAAATATTCCTTAAACAAAATTGTCACGGGCTTCTTAGTCTTAAAGATATTTTGAAAATTTTCCTATTTCAGATAACCCTCGGATTTCAATCGTCTTACTAAAAAGTTAAACATTTTAGAACTTTTTTTAGATTCTTTTAGAACTTTTTTTTACGACAGTTTCAAAATCACCCTGTATCATGAAAGCCATGACAATTTTGTTTGCGGTATCTTTAGTTTTACGACAAAATAACTCCAGATCGCGAACACTTTACTAATCAACTGGATAAGGTTTAGTGTACAGTGTTTACCATAAAGTGTGTAAAATATTTGGAAAACTTAAAATTACACATTTTAAAAATAACGAATATGACAAACATAATTCGTAATGGTCGCTTTTTTTTAATGAATCGCAATGAGTTGTATAAAACCAAAAAACTAATAGTCTAAGATTCAGCTGCAGGATTATAATAGGGGAATACACTTTTAACAGGATGCCAATCAAAAAGTTGCCGCAAATAGGGGTTGCCACGATTAGAAGTCGTTCCTATTACTTTATATGGTTTATTTTAGCGGTTTCATTAAAAAAAACATGAAAAGCTATTATTTTAGAAAGTTTGGCATATAATTTTGAATACCCTGTATGGTTTAAGATTACTATATTGATAGCACAGTAATTACAAACCAACTATAGTAAATACCTAGTATAGTTTTGATTTCACGACATTTCTTCTATTTTTAATAATATTGAAAAAAATATTCTGATCCATTCACAATTTTTTGAGCCACCCAGTAGAAGTTAAAATATTTTCCTGAAATACAACCTAATACTTCATATTTTAGGTTTCCACTTATCTACATACATATATAAAATGCTAATGTGTATCTGTGTCTTCTCTACTGAAGTAACGACGTGCTCTAGAAAGTTGATTTTTTTACTAAAAGATAGCTAATTGGCTCTTCTAAAAACTGTCGTCGCCGGATTTTTTGTTTTTCATTTAATTAAACAAAAAATAAAAAGTATTTTTTTCCTGTCAAGATGTGCCTTTGTTTTCATGTCGTGGCGGATGCGCCAGGCTAGTTTAATATAACTAGTTTAATATAAAATTCCTAAAGTTTTTATTATAGGAGCTACAAATGCGTCGTCGGGCAGGTGTAGCTCCTATATACCCTGTTGCCGAACCCGTATAAAGTAGTAGGAAAGACTTTGAATTATGGCAACTCCTAATTGCAGCAACTTTTTGATTGGCACCCTGTTAAAAGTGTATTCGTGTATTCCTCTATTCATAAATATATGTAAAAATTAGATTTCGATTAACAACGTGATGAGCGCAATAATCCTATAGCCGGATTCTGTACTATAAAGGAATCCATCTTGTAGTAATAGTCTACCTATGTATACATACAAAAATTTAAACACGTTCAAAATTATTTTAAAATATTTTCAAACGCTGTACAGAATGTGTGGTTGGTTCCTGTAAAACATCGTTGAAATTGTTGAAATACAATATGATCGAAAAAAAAAACGGTGTCAGCGATGCCTATGAAATGAAGATCGCTGTCGTTTATATGTATGATTATATGGCAAATGCCATCGATCGTCATTTTCAAGCCACCTGGACGCCGTTCTTTTTTCGTGGTAGTCTTATCCTAATGAAAGACGATTTAAGTTGTTCAAATTTTGCTGTTGAAAAAGTTAAGACCCTTAAGAAAGGTAGATATAAAAATTCGAGAAACATATAGAACAAATATACTCTAATTAAATTTTTTTAAAGGAATTTATTCTCTATATTTTAGAATAGAAACATATTTTATTTTAAAGTTGTTCTTTTCTATAGACTATTCATAGGTAAAATTGAATCTGCACAACTTTACCTTTCATTTTTATAATATAACAAAACGATATTTTTATTGGACATACTGACACACAATAGATCTATAAGGTCGCGGTGATTAACTCCCCTTCTAAACATTGGACATACTGAATTGATTCAAAATAACTTTCCTGTTATTCAGTAATAACAAAATTCCCAATTTGTTGCGAACTTTTTGGTAGACACTTTATAAAACTCTTTTGATAACCTAATAATTATTTCTTCACTTGAAGAGTATATTTATAGTATATAAGTATATAAGAGAGTTTCCTTACCATGAATCCCGGTATCTTCTCAGCAAAACTCTTAATCACATCGACTGACGTAGTTAAAAGGGAATAAAACTGTTGGATCTTTTCTGCTTCTGAGATGACCGGTTCAATAGGAGTTGGCTCTAAGTAATGAGAGTAATCCAGGTTTGCCAGATCTGGAGTGGTATCTACGTGGGCTCGGACAAGGGCTGTAATTAAGGACACTGGTGGACTTGGTGGAGATTCTGAAAATAATTGTAATTTTTATTAAGGTGATGACTTGTATCCTGACATTGAAAATACATATGCAAAGTATCGCCGCAACGTAATACTGTCTTGCTCAGTTCTTGGAAACGAAAAAATACACCGTTCAGCGATTGATTCATGCAAATGATGATAAGATTTTGTCGAGTTAAATTTTGAATAATGTAGTAATACTAAATGTCCCATTTTGGTTCAAATCACACGGTATCTCCGTTATTAGTAAAGTTAGGAGGATGCGGTTTGCACAAACCTATAGTACTTTTTTGTCAAAAGGAAGAAACATAATTTTCATAGCTCTCTTCATTTCTGAGCTACAGGGTTTTATTGAAAATTTTGCAATTTGGGACACCCCCTGTATCTCTGTTATTGTGAAAGGCATCAGGAAGGTGAAAACTGTTTCTTGTAGAACTTTTTACATAGAATACAGTGGCTCTATTTTTCTACGAAAACATATCTTTGGAGATATGAACTAGAGTTACGTTTTCTCAAATAGAAGACCCTGTATATTTATAAGTCATATGTTCTGGCTAGCCTATGAACTTCTATAAAATATATAACATTCAATATTTATTTTCACTATTTAGTCCAACATTTAAGAGTTTTAGGGAACTACGCGTAGTGCAATGCAAATGTATGAAAATATTGTTAATCCAAAAAAAAGTTTTGAGAATAACTTCAGAATATTAACGTCACCTTTTTCTGTTTCATTTCTACACTGAAAAAAAAAACATATAAAAAAACAAAAATACAACGTAGTACTTAGATTTTTGTTAACATAATATGACACGCAAATGTTGTATTAGCTAAGTTATTATTCTTCACCGACTATTATTCACTTACAATAGTGCCTAGTAACAGCAAATTGTGTCAAAAAATATAGATAGTAGTGCTACAATTTGTAGTAATGATTTTCATTTAAATTTCAGCGAGTACCTACAATCTGAATATTTTCTGACACAAATTGTGAGAATTACCGCCACACTTGTTCGCTATTTTCGTATAAAATGAAGCATATTTAACTATTTTCGAGATCTTGTGATAGAAATAAAAGCTACAACGTGATGCCTATTACCATTTTAGACGCAAAATGCAGCAGTGTTTTTTTACAATAAATTGTGGGTTTTTTTGACAATTTTTATTTTCCCCACCTATTTAAGATTTAATAATTCAAAATTTAAATGTAGGTCCTAAGTCAGGGGTGCCCGCGAAGGCTGGGGACCGGCTGGCAATAGCCACCCTGACTATATGGCCGGTCCGACCCTGGTAAGTTAGATCATACAATACAATCTGGTAAGGTGGATCAACATACAGAGTGTTCTATTTAAGAAAACTCAAGTCTAGTCCATATCTCCAAAAATATTGAATCCATAGAAAGACATCTTAAGCCACTGAATTAATTTCTAATAGGTTCTAATAGAAAAATTGCTGAGACTTATTGAGACAAAACCATAAACTTCCGGTTTTATCAGAACTACATGTTGACTTTAGTATTTTAAATGCACATATCCTACATATCTTTTCCGCGTACTTAACCTAACACATTATTAGCGAATTAGTAGATAGTAAATGTGCCCTACCTTGAGGTGATTTTGGTTTGGATGGTAGTCGTCCCCGCCGACCTTTGAGAGAATCCGTCCGAACGACTTCCTTGACCATTCCCACTGCCAAACATTTCTGAAACCTGCAGAACTGACACCTGTTCCGCCGTCGCTTGTCCACCGGACAGGCCTTGTCCGCTAAGCAAACGTACTTGGAACCTTTTTGTACCGTCCTCTTGAAGAACCCTTTGCAACCTGTCAAATTGTTCAAATTACATGAAATGACGTTTTTATTCGTTACCTACATAAAAAAAATAAATTTAACCCTCCAGTACTAACATGTTTTTTTGTAATATTAGTACTAACATCAGATCATTGTTGATCGATAATAAAAAAAAACTTTATTTTTTATTTTGTATTCAGAGAGTTATTTTGGGCACTGCAAATTTTTATTAGAAAAAGTAATATTATAAGAGTAGTGCATACTAATATTTGTCTTTATTTTGGGGGGTTTTCACAGGACTTAGGATACCGTATCCTCAACGAACACTGTAGTAGATTAAAGCTAACAGATTGAAACACCACAACACCTCGTCACTGAGTGCGCCGAGACGACAACCATTCGTACACTGAATTTTGGTACGACTGATATCAGAGATGGGACTGAGGTCGCGGTGGTTAACCTCCCTTCCATACTATCTACATTCAATATTAGTTTTCTGCAAAGTTGTTAGTGTTATCATGTCCAATAGAGTCGCTATTCATAGCCATAACGTGTACTAGACATAAAAATTTTCTGCATTGACTACATTTGTATTTTGTTTTCCTACTTTTTTTGTAGTAAAAAAAGAACATCTACCATAGGGCATATCCGGGAGTCATCCGCTCAGGAGACCAAACTACGTATAAAATCGTTAAAATGACAAACAACTTATACCTACGGATATGAGCGGTAACTAACTAAACCAGAACCGAAGATACCAGGGCACACAGCCACATAGACCCGCAATGTTCGGCGTATGGCTTGACACCAAGATTACCTTTGGAGAGCACATAACCAGAACAATTGCGACAGCTGAAAAAACCTTTTTAGTGCTTAGTAACCTTATGCCAAACGTGGGGGTACTACAAGCGGCTAAACGGAAAGTTCTAGCAGGTGTAGCGCACTCGTTAGTAGTGCACTAGCGAGCATCGTTACACAAAACAAGCAGCTCACAAAAAAGCTCTCAAAAATACAAAGAACAATGACAATTCGAGTTTGTAGTGCTTACCGAATGATTTCTGCCCAAGCCGTTGGTCTTGGCAGGTTTACCACCCATTGATATGCAAATACTGGAAAAATGCAAAGTGTACAATGGCGTAGAATGGCAAATTACTCGAGCAAACGTTGAAGCAGTGGCAGACTATCTACACAAACGCTAAACAAAGAAGATGGACTTATAGGTTAATTTTTATTCTCGGTGAATGGTTGCACAGACCGCCCGGCGAGGTGGATTATTTTCTTACCCAAGCTCTGTCGGGGCATAGATGTTTTGAAAAATATTTGTTTGAGAGGCACATGGCGACATCTGGTCTGTGCAACTATTGTAGTGAGGAAGGACACTCACTGTTTGTTTGCCCGAGATGGATGACCCGGAGACATTAGCGTAACTAGCAATTTATCCTGGGGTGGGCCGGGGGAGTCCTGGGGTTGTGCACAGCGGGGCCTAGAGCTTTTGTTTTTTAAAAATGAAAAATAATTTAAAAAAACACATTTTTTGAATAAAACGTTTACATGAATTTCTCTATCAATAAATTTCATAGACTTGTTTATCAAACCGTGTTCCCGTAGATTACTTAAATACTTACAAATTTTCTAAAAAAATAAAAATTAACACATTTTTTGAACACAACAAAATAATATTAACTAAACAAAACTAGAAAACGTCATTTTTACTGCATCACAAGCAAATAAAAATTAATACGTAGCCAAGGGTCATAATTAATTTTCTCTGGGGAGTGCCCTGCAGTACCTGGGAGGGGGCCCGGCACCCCCGGGCACCCCTGTAGTTACGCCAATGCACAGAGAAACATATTTAAGCATTTTATTGGAAAGTCTTTTAACCCTGCCAGCATGATGGACGGTCTAACTGGAGAACTATAGCAGTGGACAAAGACCTACTATAGCACAATTAGGAATATTATTTCTGAGAAAGGAAAGGATCTTAGAAAGTAAATATGTCAACGTTTACTTTGAAGTAATGCGAAAGCGGTTGGAGAGTAGAATTGTGAAGAATATGAGGTGTTTTTAGTGAGTAGGAATATCACATTGTCCATAGCCACCACCACTGATGGACGTCTATGCAAGATTTCCCTTTCTACAATAAAAGATCAGCGATGTTCAATGATTGGCTGAGAAAAGTTGTGAGTCAGTCTGTGTGACGGTATATTAGTACTGGAGGGTTAAAACATTGACAAAACTATAATATCTTACCTTCGCATGTCCTTACACCATAGTGCTGACACGCGGCGGTATCTCCGCACACGGCACAAAGTTGCGACGGTGACGGTGGAGTGAGACCTTTAGACGTCGTCGGCTGGGGCTCGGCGACGCCTCCAGGTGATGAAGCCGCCGAAGAGGACGCACTAGGTCCAGGGCCACCCATCCTCAGCTTGGGCGATTCGCTGCTGCTGGTCGATTCTGACCTTTGGAGCGGTAGCGAGGCTCGCCTTTGCCTGAAAAAGTGACTTCTAAGGCTATCATAAAATTTAGTCCTAGGTCCGCGAAGTTGAGTAAAAAAATCGAGGTAACTATTAACTGAGGCTCTATCTTAAACAGAGCTGCAAACTCACAGAAAACTTAAGAGTCCATTTCACTAGTCCGAAGAAGTAGCAAAATAAGCGTTGGTCATTTAACGTTTTATGTAAACTGGCTAGGTTTTTATACAAATGGAGAAGGAAAATAAAGATAAAGGATTATACTATATCCGCACTTTTACTCACAACTTCTTTATTTTTAAGATTTTGAAGGTCAAACATCAACAAAATATTTCTTATGTTTTATGCTTGAACTAAATTTTCTCGAAAATAAAGACAACATTTAAAATTCCGTTACAATACGGAAATAGACTGAAGTTTTGTGATTACAGTGACATATAATTTTTATGGTTTTGTAATAAATTTTATGGCAAATGCTGAAGTTCAGTAAACCTTAATCAAGCCTTAATCAAAGCACGTGTGTTTCGAATTTTGGATGGGGCTTAACACGAAAGGATCGAGCTAAGTCCTTGACAGATTTCTGAAATATAATATAATATATTTCCTTCGGCCACACACCCGCTTTACCTATGAAAGTAACTTATGATTGAAATCATTTTGCTTTTAGAAATGATATAAGACCTAAGGTTTAACTCTTTTTGAAACTGACTTGTTGCAGCTCTGACTTAAGTTTGATAGCAGTGACACTTACCTAGGACTTAAAGCTGTACTGACGTGAAGCTCAGTAGCTGAAGGTACTTGGTAGGAGGGTAGTGAGTAGGGTTCTCCTCCTTGACCCATAATATTTTCAAAGCTAGCGCTGCAAGTGGGAGGAGGAGGGTAGTAAGGGCTAGAAGCTGAGTATTGCATTTGCTGATATTCGTAGTGATGTGATGGTTGTACTGGATGGTGATATGACACGTTGAATCTATAAAAAAAGAAAAACAAATACACTCACTGGTACGAATAACGGGCACCTAAAATTTTTGATGTATTTTAAAGTTTAATATAGTATGTTCTAGTGGGCCGATTTTGATCATTTGTTAAGCCTATTTTACCTAAGTTATTTGACTTTTTAGTATCTCTTTCTAAATTAAAAATGAAAGTTGCCCTCTGTCGATGATACGAGGGGAAACAAAATGTTGATATTTTATGTGAACGTTTGCAACACCCTGTGGAGTACGTTAACAAAGCAAGGAATTTAAAAACCACTCTATATCATCTAGGTGTATCTTTCCTCAATAGTTTGTTTTTTGATTCATCCCAATAGCTTTATTTTTTTGGATATTCGCCAACTTTCATCAAAATATCAACATTGTGTTTTCCCTCGTATAATTGACAGATGGAAACTTTCATTACTAATTTAGAAAGAGATCTAAAGAGTCAAATAATTTAAGTCCAAATTGCTTAAAAATCATCAAAATCCGCCAACTAGAACAAACTATATTAAAGTTTAAAATATATCAAAATTTTAAGGTGTACGTTTTTCGTGTCGGTTAGTGTATGTTATTTTACAGTAATATCTTGATCTCATTCATCTCTAAGTATTTTGAAATAAATTTTATAACTTTCACAACCTTAACGAGTTAAACAAAGTACAAAAACAAAATACTGTCTTTACACAATTCTTTGCGAGTGTGTTTCATCTTGTATCGGCGAGATTGAGATATTTTCAATACTAGTCAAAGGATATGGATTGGACAAAAATGTATCAACAATAACACGGACTTTTGGAACTTTTGTGGACCTATCTGGTTAGGATATAGTGGGTCGAAAGCCAAAACAATTATTAATGCATTATCAGCACCATAACCTGAATAAATTTAGTCTACCTATCATTGACATCAAATAATAAAAACATGTGGAAGGAAGTTGATGATTAAAATAGAATATGTAGGTAATGGTAGCAAAATAAAACACTAATTCACCACAATACACCAAAACACTTTATTTTTTAAATACTAGACGCGCGTTTCGCTGACCCTGTTAGCATCATCAGTAAATGATTGAAACTAATAAATAATTTTTAATCATCTGCTGAAACTAACATTGTTAGCGAAACGCGAGTCCAGTGTTGATAAGTAAAGTTTTTTGGTGTTTTGTGATGAATTAGTGTTTTATTTTGCTGATGTAATACTAAATGTTCTAAACCCCCAACTGCAATATAGGTAACGGTAACATAAGAAAGAGAAGGGTTCACATTATCTGGAACCATCTGGTAATGTTAGAAGCAAAAGTCGTAAGTAATAATGAATTACTGATAAATGTGCCAGAATATTTCTGGTTAAATAAAAGAAAGACATAAATAAATTAAAAACAAAGAATAATCCTATTGGATGAAGTTTTATTATTGAGTCAGTCAAACAACTCCAGTTACACTCTTAGGAAATTAACCAAAGGTTTTTATTATCTAAGTAACAATAAATTAATGTATTTAACTAAGATCTGTGGTAAGTCAAAAATATAGGGAAATATTATTACCGGATGTGAAGCACAATTTTAAAAATCAAATTGTTCAGTAACTGCTACGTTTATTAAAGTGATTTCAAGTATACATACCCGCACTCTTCTTCCATTTTGAATTGTTGAGGCTGTTGAGGAGGCAAGCCTTGATGAGGTGGAGGTTGTTGTTGAAATACGCGATATGTTTCCTATAATGAAGAAGAACAATCAGATATTTATCAGAGTTATTTTAGTTCTTGGCTGAATAATCTTATAAATATTACATACAAATAACGGCAATATTTTAGCCTAATCCCTTCCCGTTACAACGAACCTCGCCTTTAACGCCATAAACTACGAGACTCTCTTATTCGATTAAATAAAAAGCCATAAGTCATTTTAATTTATCGGTAAAAATTATAATTTCAAGTAATTTACAATAGCTCGGGCTAGTAAATCTCCGTAAGATTAGTATAGGTATATAAATATTCAATTTTAATGTTGCGTATAGAAAATAATACCTTTAATATTTTTTATGAACTTTAAAAAGCAATTTTCGAATTGATGTATTTGATTTACATCACTTTCGTTTTTTTTAATATTCTTTTACGATGCAAAGTGATGTAAATAGAAATCTGCGAACTTGGATTTAATAAGTTATATTATGTTCATCATACATTAAAATCAGTTTTATTGTTTTTAATTAAAGCACAAGAACACTATATAAGTTTACTACGATTTACGATGAATAGATGAATTTCATGTAGGTAAGGTTGTGGCCGTATGATCTACAAAATTTATGATCAAACCGGTTTTGATTTTGATAGCTAAAATTCTAATGTAGTTTCCCATAAGAATCGAAAATCTGTTATCACACAAAGCATGTTTCACCAGAAAGCGAAGTCTGAAAAACTTGTAAAGAATCCAAAAAATACTGCCATCACAGGAAGTCTAGTAATATCTGGGAATAACACTGGACAGTAAACATCTATGGAACAGGCATATTAAGAACGTTACCAGCAAAGTCACAAAATCTCTCATGATATGCTGAAAACTGGGGAGAAATAGATGGGGCTGCGCCTCTAACATTTTGCGGTGGATGTATACCATGATAGTAAGACTCATGGTTACCTATAGAGCAGTTGCTTGATACACAAACTAGAGCAACGTACATCAAGGTAAAACCTGTGCAAACTGCAGAGACTGGCATGCATCTGCATCACAGGCAGCACTGGAAGTAATTCTAGACATAACACCACTGCACATTATCATCGGTAGATATGCCAATGTGAGAATGATTAGAATTTAAAAAAGGCGCCCATTAATCTCAAAGAGACCTGGTTTATAAATACAAAAAACAAAGCAAAAGACTCAAAGTCTCGATCTCAACATTTGTTGAGACAGAAACGCACGGAAATGTTAAGACCAAGACTTTGAGTCTTCTTGCTTTGTCTTTTGAATTTAATGATTAGAATGGTCATTGACGGAAACAGTACTGGGAAAATTGTCAGGAGCTTGGAAAACCCTCAAAATGAAAATTCCACTCCTCCAACTCCTGGTAGCATATCAAAAATGTACAACTTTGAGAAACACCTCACTATAGTATTGAAAGTATTAGACAAGGAAAGGTTTGCTCAGCAGGTAAAAGACCATACCATAACGTAGTATACTGATGCTTCCAAAACCAAAGCAGGATCAGGGATAGAAGTATTTGGGCCGAAAACTAAATACTCCGAACCAATGGGCACCTAGCATCGTTCAGGCAGAAATCTACGCTATCAAAAGATGCGTACAACTTATCGTAAATAGGAACTATCGGAAACAAGAAATAACCGATAGTCAAGTAGCATCCAAAGCTATCAACTCAGTAACCATTAATTCGAAGTGGGTCAAAGAATGCCTAAAGAAGCTAAACAAATTAGGCAAGAATAATAAAGTCCTCCTACTCAGCCCACCAAGGCAGAGAAGGTAATAAAAAAAGCAAAGGTTCTAGCTATAAAAGAAGCCAATACTTCACTAACTGGACCACAACCGTTCTGCTTCCCAAGTGGAAGCCAACTTAAAGCGGAACTCCAGAACCTGGAAGACTCCATACGTACCTGTAATGGGAATCATCCAATCAAAGACACTCCAAGAAAATTTTCAGAACTTCCGGCCGAGAAAATCAAAGATTTTCCTTGATTAAAGTAAGAACAGTCTTCGGATTGTCACGGTTTTCTTTTTAATACAACACTGTCTCAACGTACACCTCAGTAGATTGAAGCTAAGAAACAACGCCGAAGGCAGATTCTGTGCGGAAAGTGGGGACCTAACCTAACACCAGAACTCATCACTGAAACATATCACTGAGTGCACCGAGACGACAACCATTAGTGCCGTAAACTTTGGTACAACTGATATTGGAGATGGAGAACTAACCTCTGTAAAACCATCTCAGATACTGTCTTTTGTCAAAGTCCCGAGACTACTGTATGATGAGTTATAACTCAAAAAAGGGGGATACAATAGGTATATGAATGAATGTAGAATATATGTAATATATTCTACATTCTTCTACAAGCATATTTGCTCATAAAACTGAGAAAAATGCTTGGTTGTAGTCAATTCACAAATCACTAAATTAAATTGTGATAAAGTTCAATAACGCACTGTAAAGGAGAATAACATTTACTGGTAGTATTTACTCGTATTACATCAGATTTTCCACTTAATCACACACAACGTATCATTGTTTGTTTTAATCATTGTCTGATAGTACTAACTCCTTTATAATAAATCCAGATTTGCAAACAACAAAATTTACCTTTACTTCTCTAGGTGTAATTAATTTTATTAGATTGCTCTAGTTGATTAAGTGAGTTGCTCTAACTATTGCTCTAGTTGACTAAGAGTATTTACCTGAAAACTAGGTAAAGGGGCTGGAGAGACAGGAGGCTGAAGAGCAACGTCGGCGAAGGGGTCGAGGTCCTCTGGAGTTGGTTGTAAGATTGCAGACGGTTCGTCTGAGAAAGGAGCATTCAGTAGTTCCGCAAAGCTGCTGGATCCAAATTGGGTCTGAAACAAACCAATTTACTTTGAATTATGGTATAAGTGTATTACCAAATACTTTTTATTATCTAAATCAAACTGTTTTAATCTTTACTGATGAGCGTTGTTTCAAAGATGTATCATAATTTAAGACAGATGCAATAAAGCTTTGTATTAGGTAAGTATATCATTGTCATTACTTCTTTAGATACTATACGAATGATCTATTTTACTTAAAGCAAGACAGCACCAATATCAATTCAAAGATGACACTTGACTTTACACTGAACTTCTGGATATTACGACACCATTAGGAACATAACAATTATCAGACTATACTAGTATGGATTTTCATTTAATGTATCGGTCCACTAGAACATGATTATTTATGCTATCCCTTCTTAAAAAATGCCCTTAAAAAGGATACTTAGGGCATCAAAAGCTTGGCCCAAAGTTAGTTCATGACAAACGAATTGACATGTATTATCAATGAGGATAATTTGATTTATTATTAATTTAATTTAATTTTATTTTTGCACTATTTGTGGTAAATTACGGATTGATGGACTAAAATTTCGATTTAGTAGGCCAACTTTTAACTAGTAATTTCAGTCAAATTCAAACTAGTACATAGTTATTTAGAACGAATAGTCAGTATTGTTTACGTTTTCTATTCCGTTTTAATTTTTACAACACTAAATCACTAGGATTCTTTTCTTCTTAGTCTTATTTTGTTAGGTTTCTTCTGGATTACTGAAGTTGTCGCAGTACTTATTGATAAAGTTTTATTGTTGTATAAGATTTTTATTAATAGTTGTAAATCATATTAGAACCTTTTACAAATTCTTGTGAGTAATAGTAACTATCGAGCATATATGTATTATGCTTCTCTTGTTAAGTTTTCTGGAATGTCAAGATAATTGTGATATTACATAGATGCCTTTTAGCGGGACATTTACAACCTGTATGCCAAGAATGTCCATATTAATTTCAAATTTTATTAATATAAAGCAACTAATTTGTCATTGTAAGTAAAGACTTTTCTCTTAACTGTTCTGACATTTTCTGAATATAATAGTCAATACATCTCTATCTTTTTTGAAGAAAACTTTCGTAAAAGATTCGTATCTGAAGTTCTAGATATAGATATTTGGCTGGTATTGGCCTATAGTCATAGTTAGCAAAATAAAACACTAATTCACCACGATACATACTTTACTTTTAACATTGGACTCAAAACTTAAATCGTTTTAATCATCTGCTGATGATGCTGCTGACATGGTTAATGAAACGCGCGCCCAGTGATTTGGTATATTGTAGTGAATTAGTTTATTTTGTTGTATTGTTGATTTGTTCTGTATTCTAGTCTTAGTTTCTTGTATTTAGTTACTTGCAATATTTTTTTTGTGAAAATTTATATGAATAGGTTATATCAGGAAATGATACAACTTATGCTTATGAGTCTCCCAAAGTAAAGTGTATTTGAAGAATGGGAGACAGTGTAATATTTACATAACGACTAAGTATATGCTACTTTGAAATATAAAAAAAAATGTTAAATATTTTTAGATAAAGAGTGAATTTTAAACCTACGTGAACAAAATGAAGTCAATATACAAACACAATCAAGTCAATAAAGTTCAACTAAAATACACTCACCGGCATCGGCACCGGCACGAAAAAAGGGCACCTTTAAATTTTCATGTATTTTAAAGTTTTATATATTGTCTTCTAGTGGACCGATTTTGATGGTTTTGTAAAAAAATTGTTTGACTTTTTATTATGTCTCTCTAAATTAAAAATGAAAGTTCCCATCTGTCAATTATACAAGGGAAAACAAGTTGCTGATATTTGGTAAAAGTTTCGAACACCCTGTGGAGTACGCTAACAAAGCAACGAATGTACAAATTGTTTTGTCATCTAGGTATATCTTTCAACGATAGTTTGTTTTTTGATTCTTCTCAATAGCTCTATTTCTTTTGGAGATATTCGTTTTTGAAGAGGACATTAACATTTTTTCGTATTTTTACATTAAAACCATGCCGTTGCATTTGGTCCTAGTCAACAGACAATTATTGTCTGTTGAGTAGTTTAGGAGATATGGTTTTAACTCCAAAAGTTGATCTTTACCATGATCAATTAAAGCAGCAATAGCGGACACTTTAGTATTTCAAACTATCTCTACTAGAGTAAATGTCAATAACCAATGATAATATGACTGTTCAGTGATAGCGAAAGTACAAAAACAGTAAACCGAGCAGTAAACACTATTTTATAAGTGTGTTGATGAGGACCCAAAATCAATGCTAAAATTGCTGCAGACCGTTACTAAACTATCAAGAAAAGATATACCTAGATAGTAAAATAATTTTTAAATTCCTTGCATTGCTAACATATTCCACACAGTGTTTCAAACTTTCACCAAAATATCAACATTTTCTTTTCCCTCGTATAATTGACAGAAGGAAACTTAATTTTTAATTTAGAAAGAGAAACTAAAAAGCCAAATAATTAAACTACAAACTGCTTAAAAAATCACCAAAATCGGGGAACTAGAACAAAATATATTAAACTTTAAAATATATGAAAGTTTTTAAGGTGCCCGTTTTTCGTGGCGGTGAGTGTTTCAATAGATATTCCAATTTTTGAAATAATGTAATCAATAAAAAATTATTCAAAATTCTGTAGTTCTGTAACTATTGTTCATTATTCTATATAATAATTATAAACTGCTACGCAAGTTCAATATTGAGTGTTTTCTCCGTATTTTTAAATATATTTTTATGCTAATTAATATATTTGTTGTAGCTTTTCTAACGGATTAGTTTGTTTCGATATTGCTAATAACAATGCTTTAATGATAAGTTACAGTAATGAAATATTAGTAAACTAAGAGAGTTACAACTTGACGAATAATTGGAAAACATGTGAATAAAAAAATACACACCATAATATGATTTCTCCTGTAAATTTGTAAGTGATATTGAGAAAATACCAGTAAACTGTACTCAACAGTGTCAAACATCTCGATTATAAGTGAAAAAATACGTAGATACAAAAAATACGAACCATAATATAAACATCACATGCACTTCTGAATAGTACTTTACACCCCATAGCCACATAGATGTCAGCACAATCTCAACGAACACTGTCTAATCAAAATAAATCGGCGGATAAATAGAGACGCACTTTTTGTTTGTGTCGGTTTCGTCACTTGGTGCCAAAGAAACAAGGTGAGGAGGAGGGTAAACCGTTAGAAGTGAGTAGAAGAACAGATGGAAAAGTCCCCCCCCCCCTTTTGATTTATCGAGACTATTTTTAATACTTCGGTAATGACGTCAATGGTTCCGGAATGACAATAAAAATATCTCTGTCGGCAGGTATTTGGCCTTGTTGCCGACGATAGAGCTATAATTGTTTTGTTGTTTATATAAATAAGGAGTCGTTGCGAACGGGTGTAAAAAAGGGTTTAAATTTTTTTAAATTCAATTAAAATCATATCTACATTTTGAATGCAGTTGATTAGTATATTGTTTCGAAAATACAGCTATTTTTTTTTTACAAAATAGGCATGTGTATTATATTGTGAATTTGGTGAATACTATGGATTAAAATGAAAAAGGTATATTGGAATTATTTTTATGTAAAACGATAACAAATTACATCTTTCTCGTTAATACGTTAGATATTCTTTTCATCTGCCATTTAAAATAATCTTAACATTTTAGGAAAACCAAAAAGCTGAAATAAAACACGAAGAATTCTATGAAAACTACACATAGAATTGTAGAATTAATTAAAATGATAGTTGAAAATAATTTCCACTATACCATTGTCACTTTATTTTAAAGAAACCGAGACCATCATTACTTTTTCGAGACTAATCATCATCAATTTTCTTAATTTAATTACGGACCTGGATTTCCTATTTCATTATTCAATACTATTCATTATTAGAAAAATAAAAGGTACTAAGGAAATCACAGCAGACCATCTGATTTTTTTAAGAAAATCAACATTATTTGGAGAATTATTAGTCACCACTAACAGTCATTATGGTACAGTTTATGGCTCAATGTGTAGAGCAAAAACGTGCTTTTTTTTCAAACGTCACAAAAGTATATTTGCGACGTGATTGACAATATAAAAAAGTCATTTTAATGCCTAGTCATAAAAGTAAAGCAATTTTACGTCTAAGCATAAAAGTACGAAAATATATTATAAAGAGTCAAATTAAACGAGCGTAACCATAGTTTCTCGATATAGAATTATATGCAAGGTATGGCTTTTAAAGGTTTTTATATTATTTGGAACGTTTGAAATTGTTTAAAATATTATTTGTGGCGTTTGAAAAAAATAGCATGTTCTATTCTAAATAAAAATGAGTTTTTGTGCCTCGGCTGTATTGCCAACTCGCTAACGCTCGTCCGTCAAACGTACAGCCTCGCCAAAAAATGTGTCATTTTTACTCCTAATAAAACAATACACTATTACAATATACTTTTGATTTTAAAGAACAATAGATACAACAAGATAAATAAACATAACATACGTAAAATTTAAAAATAATCATACAGAAAGTTTGGGGCTTTTTGGTTTTACCTTATTAAGTAATTGTTATCAGGGAGTAATTGTGAATTTTGAAGTTTAAATATCAAGTTAAAAATGTCATTTAAACAGAACGTCAACGGTTTTTTTCTTTATTCTTTGTTAGGCAAATTTGTATTACTATAAACATAACTTCTGACAAGCAGCGTCCGTTTAGGTTTAACGCAGAAGTGTTTACAAAAAATAATTATTTTATTTTCTAGATTTTCTTGCAGTGCAGTTGCGAAATACCTATAAAGGATTTTTTTGGGAATATACTATTATACGGCACCTAGTATGTTTGACCTTCCACAACAACTTTACTTCTGAAAAATGGTCTGAAGCTAAAGTTTCGCTGCATTGCTTATATTTTCAAGTGAAAATTGGTGAAATTTTAAGTGAAAATTGGAAAACTGACTTATGTTGTTGTTACGTCTTCTGGAGGCTAACTTTCGAATTTGAAAATGACTTACAGCGATTTGCCAAGGCCGATTCATCTTTACATATTTTTTTCCAGAAGTTCTATCATTAATGGTTCCAAAGTCAAAAGAACCATTAATGATAGCATCATTAAAATAATTATTATAGAAATAAATATGTCTAATATTGATACAGTCACTATAAATGTTGATAGGTAATTGATTAGACAACAATTTATAACAAAGTAGTGTGTTTAAATAGGTGTTTCCATAGACACTAACTGAAATAACTGTCTTAGGTTTACATGAGACCTCACAACTCTTATAGTGGACGAATTGCGTTACGAGACTTGACAATTTTTACATTTTATATTTTTGATGAGATCTTCTTTGTTTTTATGTCATCCTCCTTTTAACCTTTTGTTTTTTAAAAAACATACATTACCCTCTCGGGTAATCTATCTTTCAAAATAATACCAGTGTGTAAATAAATAATCAAACCTTTCAATCATTAAAGGAATAATAGCCGAAATTATAAAACAAAAATCGTAAACGTACGTTATTAACTGACTAAAAATTTGACGTGAGACATTCAATTTTAAAATCGAAATATTGAAAACAGTCATAGCTAAAGAAAGCTGAAACTGAAGCAATCAAAACTCATTCGTGCAACTTCGTGTTGACTGGATAGTGAGTTACTGTTACCGGCTAGACGTTTGACTTTCAATAATTACTAGTTTTCATTTAATTATTAATTAAATCTGGATTTTCCATTTTTTCTTTCTTTTATTGGCTAAACGCTAATTAAAATTAAAGTCTGTGAGATTTCTAGAAGTAAGGAAACTTTGACCAGAGATAATTCATAAACTATAAGGAATAATAAAATTATTAGAAATATTTGATACAAGTTAAACTTTTAGTTACGTAATGGAGGGCGCAACTGAAAATTAAATTTTCCGCTTGGGATTCGGGTGGGACCTCTGCTGTAAACATGTCAAGTTGCCACCATTTATTTATTTACTTCCTGACATTGTCATTCGTTTTGACATTTTAGTTTTGTATTACGAATTTTTGGTTTAAATAAATTGTGTTGTGATACTTTAAGCTTAAAAATGTTTACTAGCAGACCTTGCAGTCGAACATTGTTCTTTTTAGAACTTCTTTTAGTGCGAAGTATACCAGATAGCTGAATAGCCGTAAAAACTTATCGCAACTTTATTAGAATATTTTGATCGAGAAAGCGGTAGTTGTACCCTGTTGTAGAGGCAGAAAAAATATTTTCAACTATATCATCTCAAATTAACCTAGTATTTTAGAAAACCCTAAAAATTTCAAGTTTTTTAAGATCATTCAAATATATAAACGATGTTTATATAGACCATTTTTTATATTAGTTTTTTTAGCTATGTTCCTATGTATGAAAACTAGTTAACAAAGAAAATTGCAAAACAAGAAATTTGTTTGGAGATCGTAAACGGTGTTTTCTGCCTTAAGTATTCATTTTAAAATAGATTCCAAGCTAACGAGAAAGGCATGAATAATGAATTAAAAAAAAAGGAACGCTGAATACAGCAAATTTCGTGGGTGATATGGCGCGAACAGCATCATGACCCTGTTTTAAACGAGATTCAACAACCACTCCGACCAGTCGATGGTTGTTGCATAAGTATTTTGCTGTGACGAAATCGAATCTTTTTTTTCCGAATAATTGACAAACTGTCGATATGAGAAATTCGGAGACTGCCTGCGATGGTTTGGGAATATCGAAAGTTGATTGGTCGTCCTTGACCGAGTAATCAATTAGATTTTGATTATTAGAACATAATGGGAAACAAAATGTTTTAAGTAACTTTTAAACATTTAAAATTCTGTCTATTCTATTCTGTCTTTTTCATTCCTTCGTCACAGGGCACCGAATAGATTTTAACAACGCCAAAATTATAATGAAAGAAGCGATAGCCTCTAGAAGAAAAATAAAAGAGGTTTTTTTAATACATCTAATAAAAATAAATGTATTGCTCGTGTATCTGTAGCTGTTAGTAATGTATGGCAATCGCTTCTTTGATTTTTAAAGAGCATAACATAAATAAACATAACATACATAAAAATTAAAAACGAATTAAAAATAATCATACAGAAAGTTTGAAACTTTTTGGTTTTAACTTATTAAGTAATTGTTATCAGGTAGAAGATTAACTGGATATAATGATATAATGTCATTTTAACAGAACGTCAACGGTTTTTGTAGACGTATCTATTTAAAAAAAAATATAGTGTTATCTAATAGTTATTTTAAATAGTTTCTTTTTCTTTATTCTTTGTATTTTTTCTGCTTCCGACGACGGAAAGAGATAAACTTTCCGAAACGTTAAGCATTTTTTGTTCGTTAGGCAAATTTGTTTATCAGTAAACCTAACTGCTGACAATTAGTCTCTAAAAACAAATAAAGCTATTGAGGCAAACCAAAAAACAAACTGTCGAGAAAAGTTACACTTGATGATAAAATGATTTTATCTACGTCGGTGAGTTAAGAAGCTATTAACTCACGCATTTTGAGTGTGTTAAAAACTTCTTAACACAGGCACAGCAAGGCTTTTATCCAAGGACCTAGCTCTAAAACCGCAAAAGAACTGCTAATGCTTAGCAGGAATAAATTGCGGATTACAACAGGCCTCTTGACAGGACATATGGCTGTCAAGTGTTACCTGAACAAGCTCAACCTGTATCAAGGAAGTCTTTGCTGCAGACTCTGCGATAAAGATCCTGAAACAGCGGAGCACATAATATGTCACTGCGAAGCTCTGGATCGTAAGCGACACTTTTTATTTGGGAAAGCTAGGCTAGAACCGGAGGAACTATGCTCCTATCCTATCAAGGACCTGCATAAGTTAGTGCAGGGCACAGGGATAGGAGAATGGGGACAAACACAATAGGCCTCACAGGTCGCAGTGTTTTCGGCAGAGGACGGCCCCTTATTGTGAAAAAAAACTCACGCATTTTCATTACCGCAACATTTATTTTGCACTAAATACTTACTAAATACAAATAAACTGTTCTATTGATAATAATCATAAAAACATGAAAACTTATTTACTATAATATGTTATGAGTACCTTTTTATTTCCATAGA